TTTTGCACAAAGAAGTTATTGGGAATACGATGAAAGCTGTAGTGTTCTCTGAGGATATCAACATATCTACAAAATTTTGAAGCATCAGTTGGATTACAGGGAAACAGGTGGCGAATAGCTGAGATAAGGTTTTGAGGAGTTGATAGAAGTCTAGGGTTTGCTTCTGGTAAGTTGAAGTAATTGAGGGGGATTCTTTCTACTATGTAGTATTGTATTAATTTTGTGTGATAGTTGGAAAGAAATGGCAATTTAGCTTGTTCTGTAATTGGGAAAAAGTTCCAGATTTCAGCGCGGAGTTTAGTGGGGTCGTCTGGCAGTAGTTCGAGAACAGTAAGAAAATAGCTATCAGGAAGCTTTTCAAAGATAAAAATCTTTCGTAAAGCTAGTATGGTTGCTTAAGTAAGTTTACAATTTTGAATTGGTAGCAGAAAGAAGAGAATTTGTTAAATTGATTAATCTATTTTGAGTGGATCTTGAGGTAGAGGGATAAGTAGTGTTAAGTATGCCTCGTTAATCAAGCTACGTAGATCTTCAAAACTAAAAGTATAGTTTATTTGTGCGAAGTTGAGACAGTAGGTAATTATTCATGTACAGTTATGTGGGCTATTGGTAAGGAAGTCTGTATTACAAATAAAGTCTAAGGCTATTTTGGCTTTAAGTTTTGTAAAGATTTGGTTTCTGTTGAATTTGTTTATAAAGTGCACGTTATGTAGCCTTTTGTATCTTTCTATTGCTATTTGTAATAGTGAGTTGAATTCCTTTTGATGTTGTGGTTGGGTTTCTTTGTTTTTCGTAAATGATCGAAAGAAAGCCGAGTCCAAGTATTCCAATTTTGTCTTAATTGCGTTTGGTAGATTATATTGAGTTGGATTCACTTGGATTTTGTGTTGGAAAAATTTTAAAAGTAGCTCAGATGATGAAAAAGCATTAATAATTGTATCATAGTCCCAGACTATTGTATCGAAATTTAGTATACGTGCTTTTGCTATTGCAGTAGTAACAGAGTTACACCAAGTGAGTGAGTAATCATCTTTAGTATATTTCTTTTTTGGAAGGTTAGAGGTAAGTGCACTACTATACATCTTCTTGGGAAGGTGTAGAAGATTGTGTAGTTACATTAGATTGAGTATTCATGTGGTCATCTAAGTCTTCTTTTGATTGGGTATGTTGTATAGCATTGTTAGTGATTGGTACTTTTTGGACCAAGCTCCAGGAGTTGTCTTGGATGAGGTCCTGGAATGGATTGGGTGTGTTGTGATGATCGGTTACCATATTTGTAATCTGGGATCCTAAGGTATTTGTGTTGTTTCTCACGCTTGTTTGTTTGTTTGAATTATTTTCTGTACTATTTTGTTTGTTTTGATTGTTTCCTACGCTTGTTGGTTTGTTTTGATCAGAAGATGTCATTGATATTTTTGACAGAGGTTTGCTAAATTCCCCACTTTGTATTGAATTTTTTTGTATAATATGTAGTGGAGTGGTAGTAGTATTATAGATGGTGTCTTTTCTGTCTTTGGTTTTAGACATTGTCTTTTTCTTTTTTAGTGGTGGTGGGTCATCTGGTATAGTAAGATTTTGTTCCCTGTGTTGGTTATCTGAGGTCCTAGCAGGATCCATCAGGGTGGGGTTAGGGGACGTTGTCAGCACCAAGTGGGGTTCTAAAGTTTCGTCAGTGGAAAGTAATGTGTTTCTGTCTCTCTTCAGCTTTGTGTGTTATTATTAGGGTCTGTTAAGAAATATTTAGAGTATCTAAGAGTTAAAATTATATGAAGTATTTGTATTCTTCTATTCGAAAATAATTTTTTATCTTAATTTTTATTGTTTTGATGATCTACGGGAAAGAGTTTTTATATTTTCTGTTCTAACAGATATACTAGAAAACTTATATTGGTTAGTATAATAAAATTTATTAATATCTAAAATTTCATTATTATAATTATATTCTATATCACTATTCATATGGCCTGATTAATATAATTAACAAAAAAATATTTAAGCAGTATGTTTACTTTATATTATATAAGAATAAAAGCTATTATTAATTTGTAACTTAATCACAATTTTTTTTTAGACACAAATAAAGTATTAATTAGATAATTAATATTAATTACAAATACAACTTTGTATTAAGAATTGTTTAACTCAAATCTAATACAAAAGTTAATTTTATTAAGTTAAAAATTCACTTCTTATATACAAATTTGACTTATACAAAAAATTATATATTTTATCTAATCTAAAACTTTAAATATTAGATTGATAGATATTTTATTTTTTTTTTTCTGAATTGACCACCCAAATATACTACTCTTATTCAATATCAATTAATCGTACAATTTTTTTATAATCAATTTTAATTTGGTTTGGCTTTTATACTTAAAATTACTAATTTAATTATCTTTAATTATTTATCATATGATTTTAATATTAGTTCTTTCAATCAAAATTTTATTAGATATATTGCCAAACTTCACTAACTTAAGTAGAATACTATTACTATACTCCTCTTTTTTTGGTAAAGCTTTAATTTGACTTCTCAATATTATTTTCCTTTTATTATAATTATTATTGTATATTTTTATTTCCTTTTTAATTTTTAATATATAGCCATACCATATCTACTGATGTAGATGAATCCAAAAAGAAAAATTTAACAATATATAATATCTAATATATATTGATTATTGTAATAATTTTCTTTTTAATTTTGATATACAAGTGTAGTTTTTTTTAAGTATAACTATGATTATTATTTTGTAAAGTTTTCAACAAAATTTAATAAACTACTTTAAATTGTCTAAAAAAAATCTTTTTATTAGATTTTTTGAGTGAATAATGAAGATTATGAAAATAGAGTATATACAAGTATTTAATTTAATAAATATCATTATTAATTGTAATACATGAGTATCATCATAATTATTATTTAATTAATTAATTAAGACACTTAAGGGAACTTCCACTTATTATATAAATATAGCCCTCTAAAGTCAGTTGTTTGACACAATCATTTGACAATTACAAATTCTAAAATAATTAATCATTTAACAATTACAAGTTCTAAAGTAATCAAATTTGTAATTGTCAAACTATTGTATCAAATGACTAACTCTGAAAGGGACTATATCTATCTAATATTTGGAAGCTTTTTAAGCATACTGATTTTTATCTAAATGTTATATAAATAACTAGGGTTGCATTATAATACTTTGTGTATTATTTTGATCTTAAAAACTTGCATCTAAAGTAATACTTGAAAACACTCTAAATCTTTAAATTTAAGTTTGTAAACTAAAATACTGACTGTGTTTATCTAATTTTTTACCTTGAAATTCATATGAATGATTAGATATAAGGCCATACAAACTTAATTAATTGTTTCTCATAACCCGGCCGGGTCAAATTTTGAAAAAAAATTTTTACTATATTTATTATCCGGGTGAAATTTTTAAAATTTTGGTAAAAAATTTTATATGTTTTTTACATATAAAATTTTTTGAAAATAAAATTAAAAGCCGGGTTGCCGGGTCATTTTTAAAATTTTATGTTATGAGAACCAAAAAACTAATTTTATATGGCCTAAAACTAAAATTTTATCTACTAATATTATCATATTGCTATCTCAAGAGACCATAAATATTTATATATTTTATTTAGTAGTTATTCAATAGTCTTTTATTTAAATAAATAAGTTGTTAATAGATCTAAAAAATTAATTGCAACTGATTTTGTTATATATATATAATTACCGGTAAAATATTAAAATTATTATAAAATTAATTAAAACCCAATTAGTAACAAAATAATTGCAACTAATTGTCCTTACAATCAATTATTTGTTGTGCTTTATTGTTATAATATAAATAATTTTATAAGTTTAATCTTTTTAAAGCTAGAACTTACATATGTTAACTATGTGTTAATTTGTAAATTAACCCACAGGTTAACTTATAAGTTAATCTACCTATTTTTAACCAGATTTTCAGATATCAACTCAGATCATTCGCCCATTTACAGGTAACCAGGGTAGTAGTCATCTAGGTTGAAATACTAGTTGAAAATTTTGATATAAAAAAAAAGAGAAAAAAGTTAGAAGAAGCTACATTTATATTATAAAAAGAAAGTAAGTTCTTTGACAAAATCAACAAAAGTTTTTACCAGAGTATACACAATACTAAGTCTTCTTGGTAAGTGATAAACTCTAAGCTTGTTGGTATATAGTATATAAGAACTATTTTTAATTAACAAGTACTATACTTGCAGTAAATAATAAACTTTGAAACTATAGTAGATAGTATATAAGAACTATTTTTAAATAATAGCTACTGTTTTATAGTCTTATTTTCTATGGTTTATAGTCGAATATTGACTTTTTATATTTTTTTTAGTCTATAGTTTTTTAGAAATTTTTTGGTACAAATAATTATTGGAAAAGTTTAATTGAATAATAATAAACAAAATAAATAATGTTAAAGATAAATTTAAAATAATTCAAATTAATTTAATTTATACTAATCTTTTATATTATAAGAGAGATGAGTATTCTGGACAGCTTAAAGTTTCTATTCGCAAAACTTTTTATTATTCATATAAAATTCTTTGCTACGATTGTCATATAAACTACACCTAATGTAGAATAAAACTATTATAAAAAAAAATATTATACAATTAACTACATTGAGACATAAATGATTGTTATATAAAATAATATAAATTTCTAATTTTGGCAGGAGTAGGGTATTGTGGTCAATCAAAAAAAAATTTTTTTTTTTTTACACAGTTCTAATTCGCTTTTTTTGAGCTTTTTCTTCCTTTTGTTATACTATTTCTTCCTTTTGTCATACTATTTCTTCCTTTTGTCATACCCTTTCTTCTTTTTGTCATGTCCTTTCTTCTTGTTGTCATACCTTTTCTTTCTTTCTTTGGGCCACTATTTCTTTTTTTCAGTTTGTTTTTGCAATTTTCTTATTCGCTTCTTCTCTTGCAGTTTTCAACTACACCTAATTTTTTTTACAAGTAAGAAGCTGTGTGAACAGGAGTGTTTTTCTTTTTTTGGGTGAAGACGATTCAGATTGCTGTTGATCTGACAAGACTTTTGGTATTTCAACTTGAGAGGTTCGAGGAACCAGATACTTGAGGGCTAGATATAGAAAACACATTCCTGGGTTTTTATAAATTTCCAATTCCTCTTTCATT